ACCAGATAACAGCTAACCTTCAAGAGATAATTTCCTACTAGAGCAACAGACGACTAGAACTCCTGAACTCTTTCCCTCAAAGAGAAATAAACACTCTCCATGGAGTTTCCTTAAAGCAAAGTCAACATTCCACAACAGAGTTCTCCTAAAACAACGGAATAGGAATCCCCGACAAAAACATCCTAAAATAAGGTCTAAAGAGGAGCATACTCTTCATCCCTAGCAGTAGTCTGGGATTTCATTTCCCAAGGCTCACCAGCATTTGTCAATGATTAATTTTCCTAGACAAAGATACACTTCAACAATATTTTACATTTCATACGTCATAGCATATGCATACAAAACACATATAGCACAATCTCATTTATTTTGAGAACACATTGCACAATGCATTTCATACATCATGACATGTCATACAACTAACTCTTTACCTTTTCAGGAAAGATCAATCAATAGATAATTATCATTAACAATTTTCAACAGGTCCAAGATTAGTTCCTAAAACTAGACAAAGCAACTATCTACACGACCAGCTGAAGCAATCTTACACGAGTTCCTTCTAATTTCTAGATGCAGCTTCACACGGGCTCACCATGAAGCAATCTTACACTGGTTCCTTCTAATTTTTTAGATATAGATTTACATGGGCTCATCCTGAAGCAATCTTGCATGGATTCCTTCTTAAAATTTCCAGACGCAACTTCACACGGGCTCATCATGAAGAAATCTTACACGGGTTCCTTCTCTTATATTTCTAGATGCAGTTCCATATAGACTCATTCTGAAGCAGCCCTACCCGGGCTCCTTCTCATAATTTCTAGATGCAACTTCACACGGGCTCATCATGAAGCAATCTTACACGGGTTCCTTCTAATTTTTCAGATATAGCTTTACACGGGCTCATCCTAAAGAAATCTTACATGGATGCCTTCTCAAAATTTCCAGATGCAGCTTCACACGGGCTCATTATGGAGCAATCTTACACGGGTTCCTTCTAATTTTTCAGATATAGCTTTACACGGGCTCATCCTGAAGCAATCTTACATGGATTCCTTCTCAAAATTTCCAGACGCAGCTTCACATAGGCTCACCATGAAGCAATCTTACACGTGTTCATTCTAATTTTTCAGATATATCTTTACACGGGCTCATCCTGAAGCAATCTTACATGGATTCCTTCTCAAAATTTCCCAATGCACATGGGCTCATCATGAAGCAATCTTACACGGGTTCCTTCTCTTACATTTCTAGATGTAATTCCACACAGACTCATTCTGAAGCAGCCCTACCCAGGCTCTTTCTCATACATTTCTGAAACAACCGACTAAAAATCATCAAATAATGAAGTCGCCATCGAACGTCTTTTATCCCACATGAAGGGAAAGGTAAACATCGATAAAACCTAAGAAGGGAGAAGTCACAGTCTTGCGACCGAGAGATCGGCTAAGGGAGTCTGTTATGCAAGGGGAATGTATTAGCACCCACACACTTGTAGTACTCTACGGTATCCACTCTTGTTGTCTATCTTATGGGTGTGTTTAATCTATGCTTACTATTTATTACTAAGGGAGAATGCATGAAAAAGAAATGAGAAAAGAATGTTGGGAAAATAAAATTGTACTCGCTTGGGCCCTATCCTAATGCCTATGTATCCTTTTTGAGGAATCAGAGCTACCATACTTTAGCTCACATGTTTTTGTTTGTTTGTGTTTTTTATGGATAATGTTAATTCTGCCTTCTTCCGCAGATCGACCTTTAGAGACTTATGCGTTGGCACAAAAGTAAATTAATTACGTCCTTACCTGAAAAGGGTTTTAGAGAAAAGGTGCTCGAGCGCACAAAAAGGTTTGAGTTGGTTTGTATTTTGTTAACTTGAAAAAGGGTTTAAGTGTTATCAACATGTTTTATGATTTGCTAAGAAAAAGAGTATTAGTTTTGAATGCAAGGATGCAAAAGGGGAAGAAAATAGTCTAAGGGAGACTAGCCTATTTCTAACTTAATGGTATCATACAATGGTATCCCTACGTCAAGGATGAAAGGGGGAATCTCTACCTAATGTTAGCATGCATGGCTTGCAACCCAAAGTCTAACTTGCATCCGAACGGAGCAAGCACATCCTAAGGGAAAATGGTATGTACAAGGATAAAGAAAACAAGTTAATAAGCTCAAGAGAGCACACCTAGAGAGATCCTATCTAAGTTAGCATGCCAAAGAAAGTCTAACAAAACTATCCTATAGGGAACATGCAATGAGATCGAAGTCATGATCTCAATTTCTAAATTGAGTGACTCATCGATCAACAAGAAATAAAGGAAAGCAATAAAATCCTATAGGGAGCATGCACTGAGAGCGAAGTCGCGATCTCAATTCCTAAATTGAGTGACTCATTGATCAACAACCAAAGAAACAAACATAAGCACAACACATATAGAAAATGAAGTGCGGAATACCTGTTATAGGTCTTTAAACAACGACTTCGAGCGCAGGCTCTTTATTTCCTACTTATCATGGTATCTAGAAAGAAATAAAATGCGGAAATGAAGAATAAAATAAGGTTACGATGATACCGAACAGAGAAGTTCCGTTTCCTCTTCATAACCACACAAACAATAAGAAAACTCTACCAAAATCTTCCTCGAATTTACTTGATGAAGATTATGGCCTTAATTTACTTTGAAACCTTTGGGAATCTTCAACAACGTCATCCCACAATTGTGCCCATATATATCATGGATTGAACACTACTATCATACGCAAGTGGCATCAAGATCTCTCAAACAAAGATTAAAAAATTACTGTAATAATTGATCGTAATTGAAATATAACAAATTTCCAAAATTCTAAAGCATTTCCTATTATTTTTCATGTATCATTTTATCACCAAAGATTTTATCGAAACTAATGAAGAAAAATTTAATAGGAAAAAAAATAACGCCACTCTAAATAGAGGGAGTGTATTGTTGAGTTCAGGAGTTATGTTGCAGCAAGTTGATGCTAGGCCCATCAGCCATTTTTGTTCACCAACCCAGAAACTACCAAAAATTCCATTGGGCCATATAATTCGCTCCATCACCATATCTATCTAATTATTTTTTTTTTCAGAATTATTTATTATTATTATTTGCATAAAACGAATAAATTGGAAAGGGATTAAATGATAACATTAGGGTTGATAGAAGTGACTATTGAGCTTCCCATGGGAGCAAATCTGAACCCAGAATCTCTGCGAATAGCGCCGACCTCCGTCTCATTCAAGCCACCTTCTCTTCAATATGTGGTGGTGTTCATGTTCCTTATCAACGTGAAACGGTGCACATCACCATCCGGATGACTTTGCTCGTGAATCCCCCCTCTCTTCTCCTTTCTGTTTCGAGCTTCGACTCAAAAACTCCACCTTGATTTCGTTCTCAGTAACCTCTCCTCACGAATTTCTCCACCCTTATTTCTTCCCTCCACCTTCGTTCTCCATCCATCTTCCGTCATAGCCGTCTGTTCTATTTGATTACACAAGTCCTAGCAACCTCCGTCCCATCCGATTCAGATTCGTCTCACATCGCTTTCTATGAATCAGACAAATCTCTTACGACTTCGAAAACGGCATCAGAAGGTGGAAGAAGAAATGCACACAAGACTAATATCAACAAAAGAATAGGGCAACAATCAAAAGTTCGAGTGCACTTACCAATTGGAGTTCGTCCGATGCGGCTTCAATTATGACGATGATGAGAGAAAAACCAGGGGAAAGCTTCTGAACTCAGGTATGCGTTCTCCACGACACTTGCTACTACATTACTCCTCGCTCGTTCTTCTTCTTCTTGCTATGTTGTTGTTTTTAGTTGTTTTTGATGGTGTGCAGATTCGCTCTATTGCAAAAGTGTTGAAGGTGCAAGACGAAAAAGATGAAGGCGTTGGTGATGAAGATCCAGAAAGGTTTCAGATTGGTGAAGATGAAAATCAAAGTGAATATGAAGAAGAAGGTCCAGAGATAAAAAGGTGAATCCTCTTTTTGTTCTTTCTGTTATCTATTTTTTGTTGAATGTTTTCTCTTATTCTTTCCCTCAGAATTGAAGAATAATGGTGAATGATGAGGATAGGAGATGAGAGATTGATGGTTCGAAGATTGCGAAATGGAGAGTAAAAGTTAAGATGATTAGTGGTTGCCGATGAGAATCAAGACGGAGAGGAGATTCAATCCAAAAATGAAGGTGAGTTCCCTGTATTTCTGATTTTCTAATCTTTTGAACTGTTATGGATGCCTTCCCCTCCGTAGAAAGTTGGTTTTCTGTTTTTATGAGTCTGTTCTATTATAGTTGGTTATGTTAGTTAGAGTTTCGGTTAGGCCTGGTTAAAGTTTAGTTAAAACTGTTAGAAATTAGTTAGGTAGTTAGTTATGAGTCAGTTAGGAGAGTTGGCTCTGTTTCGGTTAGGTTGGTTAAATGACAGTTATATGATTGTTAGAATTTGTTAAAGGCTGTTTTCCATTATAGGTGATTAGGAATTTAGAAGTTAGTTGGAAACTGTTATGAAGTTGGTTGGAAATCGGTTAGCAATTAGCTTTTCTGTTGGAGCGGTTAGGGAATTCAGTTGACAGTTTGCAGGGTTGTTTTCTGTTATGGAGAAAAAAGTTAGTTAGAGGGCTGCAGTCAATTATAGATGAGCTGGCATTTTGTTAAGAGGTTGGAAAATGTCAGGGAAAAACCGTTAGTTTTTAGTTAGCAGTTAGAGCAGGTTCTTGGTTTAGAAAATTTCTGTTAAGGAAGTTATGCAGGTTTAGAATCTGTTTAGTTATTTTTGCTGGAAGTCTTGTTATGGATAGGAAAAATTTAGTCAGATATATATATATCTCTGTTAATAGTATTGTTAGTTAGAAATTATGTTAATTGTTTCTCCTGATTTTTCCTGAACAGGGTGGTTTTGCTGGATTAGTTTTTGTTAATTAGTTCATGCAAGTCTCTAAGAAGACATGTCATGGAAGGACACATGAAAACCAATAGCATTCAATGAAATATGCTATTCTTCTCAACAACTGGTGCATAACCCTGAAGCACAAAGATGTAAACGGTCTCCACAAAAGTCACACACAGAAGACTTCCCAGATGGAATATTCAGAGGATCGAGTCAAGCCAAGGATCCTCCAGCTTTGCTTGGGAAGAACTGACAAGAAAGAGTCCAACAATTTTTCGGCTTTTCAAGAAAACCAAGAGTGATAGGTTCAAGTTCTTCATCATCAGAATCATTAACAAAACATCCTCTTCATCTACATATTCAACATTTTTATTTCTAACAGCCTTGATTTTGTTGGAGGAATTTCCAACTGCAGAAGTATCCATGTATAGAGAATGAAAGGTGATGGTGAAGTATAATGGAGAATGTGTATGTGGTAATGGTTCAAAAGTTATGTTAATTTTGAACTGGGATATAAATTGCTAATTGTTGAATTGGTTTGGATTTAAGAATTCAGTATTTTTTCTGAACTGATTTTGTGGTTGGAAGGCTATTTTCGAATGAATATCGATGTTCTGTTCATACTGGTTTTAGATTGTGCATGGATAATTGTTTTTGAATTCTAAACTGATTTCTATTGGTCTGTGAAATTGCAGGTTCATGATTTGGGATGATGCAACATTGGAAAACCTGAGATGGAGTCAGGTCTGATACATGAAGCTTTGGGCATAGCTTGAAGATATGGTGGTAGCTTGGTCATGGGAAGCAAGCATGAAGATGTATAGGCACTAAGACTTAGGCTTAGAACAAAAGTTTGTGTAATGGTTTCCTTTGATATAAAAAGCAATGTGACAATTGAATTTTGTAATGGTTTATTCTAGTAATGTAAATGGAAATTGAATATTGCTTGAGCAGAATTGTAATGACTCTGACTTTTCAAATGGGATTCAAATATGTATTTTCCTTCCATTGCTTCAAATTTAAATTTCCAAAATATTATTCAATTGTAATATTAAATAACTACAAATGAGATAAATAACCAATGAATGGATTAAGAAGTACTTTTGGTGAATATCTTCATCATTTGAGAATGATCCCCTGCAACCAAACATTTCACCTTAACTTATTGCATGAAGTTCCAAAATGAATAGCCTGTGATCCAAGTAATAAAATAATCCCTGAATTAGTGATAATAAACTCAATTGAACCAAACTTCAAATGATGATAGGAACCAAGCGAGACCTTAATATGTTGAACCAAACCATATGATAGTTATGGCTAGACAAAATCGAGTTCACTTGATAACATAAGCATACTATAAAGAACACCAATCCAACTGGTGATTGCAACACAGATACTGCTTCTCAACCCTTGGTCCCTATGAATTTCCATGCATAATGCAGAGTCTTCTGAATGAAGTCCAATTGAGTGACTTGTACTAGAAGCAAAAAATAATAACAACATCTTGATCACCATATGATTCCACAACAACATCTTTGTGTTATAACTTAAAGCTTTTGCACCTCAATCTTCAAAGATATCTTGACTTGGAGAGCCCACAATATAAATGGCTTAAAGAACTCTTGGAGATGGATGATGAGGCTTGAAATGGTGAAGAAGATCCAAACCCTAGCTTAAATCAATCTCTACTGGAAACCAATATTAAAACCCTAATTCCTGAAGATTCTTGATCCCTTGCCAAGTTATGTTGTTATTGAATGTATGCAATGTTAAATGACCTAATGGAAGGTATGTATATGACGATGCATAAGCCAGGTGATCCTTGTTAAAGGGTAGGACACATTTGGGGTATTACATCTGCCCCTATTTAATCGTCTTAAACCTGAAAGTACGATTGGCACGTGCCTTTCAGAAGTTCGAGGTTGGTGATAATTAAATACCAATGCCAAAAATTTGTTCTGAGAGGGTGCGAATGTTTATTATTATTATTTTTTTGATATCTGTTGGGGAAATAATTTTTTGTTTTCTAGTGAAGAAACGGAGATTGGAAGGTGACACGACGAGTGTTTAGAACTTGACACGATGATTGTCGGAAGCTAACGCGACGAGTGTTCAAAAGCTGACACGATGAGTGTTTAGAAAGGTGACACGACGAGTGTTTAGAAAGGTGACACGGAGAATGTTTAGAGATTGACACGACGAGTGTTTAGAAGCTGACACGATGAATGTTTAGAATTTGACGCGACAAGTGTTGGTATATAGCAAGATGTCAATGCAAGGACATGGGAGACTTGTAACGTGGCGTGATGTCAATACAAGGAAGAGATCGGACTTGTAATGTAGCATGCTTCCAATACAAGGAAGGTATCTAACTTGTAACATAGCATGATGCCAATACAAGGGAGAGATCTGACTTGTAACGTAACAGGATGTCAATACAAGGAAGGATATCGGACGTGTAACGTAGCATGATGCCAATACAAGGAAGAGATTTTACTTGTAATGTAGCGTGATGCCAATACAAGGAAGAGATCAGACTTGTAACGTAGTGTGATGCCAATACAAGGAAGGAGATCGTACTTGTAACGTACCATGATGCCAATACAAGGAAGAGATCTGAATTGTAACGTAGCATGATGCCAACACAAGGAAGGGATCAAACTTGTAACATAGCATGATGTCAATACAAGGAAGAGATCAAACTTGTAACATAGTGTGATGCCAATACAAGGAAGAGATCATACTTGTAATGTAGCGTGATACTAATACAAGGAAGGAGATTGGACTTATAACGTAGCATGATGCCAATACAAGGAAGAGACCTGATTTGTAACGTAGCGTGATACCAATACAAGGACGGGATCAGACTTGTAACGTAGCTTAATGCCAATACAAGGAAGAGATTAGACTTGTAACATAGTGTGATGCCAATACAAGGAAGAGATCTGACTTGTAACATAACTTGATGCCAATATAAGGAAGGGATCAGACTTGTAACATAGTATGATGCCAATACAAGGAAGAGATCTGACTTGTAACGTAGCGTGATACCAATATAAGGAAGGGATCGGACTTGTAACGTAGCATGATGCCAATACAAGGAAGATATTGGACTTGTAACGTAGCGTGATGCCAATACAAGGAAGAGATTAGACTTGTAACATAGTGTGATGCCAATACAACGAAGGAGATCAGACTTGTAACGTAGCATGATACCAATACAAGGACGAGATATAACTTGTAACGTAGTGTGATACGGTGGGAGAACTGACTTGGGGTTTTTGAGTTTGTGTTTGCAAATGTCGCAGTTTAGCAAGAGTCGCCACCGACTTTTATTTTATGCAATAAGGAAATGTGGAAAAAGCACAGGAAATACCTTTTGAGATGTTTTCATGAGTTTGGGGGGTAGATTGTGAAAAGGGAAGGTATTAGCACCCTTTCCATCCATGGTTTTCCATGGGCTCTTAGTTACTTGTTAGATCACTTTCTTTTGTTTGAAAATTGTGCTTTTGTATGGTTTTGAAAGTATTTTGAAAAGGTGCCATCGTTTAGGCGAACTTTGCAATGATTCCCGTTTGTAAGAATGCATGCAAAGTGTTGAGCTTTTGAAAATATTTCAATGTTTGGAAAGTGTTTTTTGAAAGTGTATGTGATTGGTTTTGAAAATAGAAAGGATGTTTGTTTTATAATTGAGCAAGTAACTAAAAGTAATCTACCTACTCAAAAGGTTTTAGATGTGCTTTTCCTCCTCCTTTTGATGTTGCTACCTTACCATTGATTTGATAAGAAGCCCCATCGCTGGATGTGAAGGGACGAGCGTTGGGTCATCGTATTACCATGATAGTAATGTTGTGAAATGACTTAGCACTTTTTTGTAGGGACTAAGATCATTTTGAAAGACAACTTTGATAGCGTCATCGAGGGACTATGATCTTTTTCGATTTGTTTGTGCTAAGACATCCCACATGCATAACATGGCCATTTTTGTAAGGCAACAAGTGGAATTAGCCTAAGGTGTGCATATGTGCAAAGTGTGTTTGATTGCATGCATTTTTGTCTTTGATTAGGGTTGTCTATTTTTTGGTTTTATCTTGCCATACACGCCTAATTACTAGCATTTGTACAAAAGTAATAAAAAGTGCAAAAAATAAATCCTACACTATTACAACCATATTGAAAGGAAAGAAAATGTAAAGGCAAAAACAAAATAAAAGAAAGGAAAATGAGCTCTTCGACCCAGGCAGTAGCACCCTTCGACTTGCATTCTGTTGGCCTCCTTTGATTAGGGCTAGCACCAGTGAGGTCCTGTCCTTCGATTGGCCTGGAAGTCAATGTATGGCGAAGCCTTCTGGTTCTTCCTTGTTGTCTTCTTTGAATGGAGGTTGAAAGCAGTGAGGGAATACCTTTCGACTGAGGGCTGGCACCAGTGTATGGCGAAGCCTTCTGGTTCTGCCTTATTGTCTTCTTCGACTGGAGGTTGAAAGCAGAGAGGGAATGCCTTTCGACTGAGGGTTGGCACCAGTGTATGGTGAAGCCTTCTGGTTCTGCCTTGTTGCCTTCTTCGACTGGAGGTTGAAAGCAGTGAGGGAATGCCTTTCGTCTAGGCCTGCAGGTCAGTGTATTCGAAGCAAGTGTGTGTGTGCTGAACATGTCTGTATCGAAGCATGCATATTTTGTATTCCAACATTTTTAGGGGACTGTACAAATTAGTTCTTAAAGGAAAACACAAAAGATTAACATCGAAGGCCATGATTATTACATGTTGGTTTAGTAGATGAATCAATAAAGATGTTTGAAATGAAAGAGTTAAAGTCAGAAAGACTTACCTCAAAGTTGGTGTGTAGGATTCGAACTTGTACTGCTACCTGGACGTTTCTGGAATTCGAAGAGTAGTCACAAGAGGTTTGCCTTTGGTTCGAAGAGTTGTCACAGAAGGTTGTCTTTGGGTTTGAACAAACTTTTATGTATGGGGTGTTCTTCAGAATTGAAAGAGGTAAGTGTTTGGGATTCTGGTTTTTTTTTTGTGATTTCTCAAGTGTTGATGAACTTGAGAGTTTTTGTTGTGCTTGAGAAAATTTGGGGAATTCGTTCCTCTGGTCCGAAGATCCTCTCCTTCTTTTTACAAATGAACTCTCTATTTATAGAGAAAGGCTTTTGGGAAGCTTGGGGAGCAAAAATAATAAAATAAGGTTTATTCTGGAAAGTAAGTGTCCACTTGTGCCATAAAAGCAAAATGAATGGTTTAGATGGGTTGCTTCTTTCTGAAGGAAAACAGGCGCAAGGCTCAAGACAAACTTTTCTA